AACTGTAGCTCAGGATAGGTGTAGGGGAAATCCTAGGCCTCCAGACAACAACTCTAGCGATAGAAGGGTCCCGTTTATCCTACCCTTTATCTCAAATGATATAAGTACAGCTATAAAACGCTGCTTAAGAAGGGCGGGCTTAGAGAATTCGGTGAGCGCAGTTGAAATACCACCGAGTAATCTTAAGCGCCAGCTAGTTCGCAACCGCCTATATGACCGTCTATGTGCAACTCAAAATTGCATAATTTGCCCCAGTGGTAGAGACGGTGATTGCATGAGCTCGGGTATAGTTTATCTGATCTCCTGTAAGACGTGTGGTGACGAATACATTGGCGAAACGGGTAGACCCCTCTGTGTCCGCATGAAAGAACACCTAGCCGGCAAAAATAGACCAAATACCCCGCTAGGCACGCACAGGACCCAGAGACATAACGGGGACGACTTCGAAGTATGTGTCACGATCCTCGCACGCGAATCAAGAACACAAGCGCGCAAAACTCTCGAGGCATTCTGGATTAATTCCAGAAATCCGAAAATGAACTGCAGGGAAGAATGCCTCATTATCACGCGTGATATAGGGCAGTATATAAAACTGCTTTTCTGATGTGAGGGGCACATTATACTTCCATGTGATTTCTGTGCGGCTGGTCTCTACGTGACATACTTAGTGGAAACCTCATAGGAAGCGGTGAGTGTGCAAAGCTGTGTTCAAAGTGATTGAAATCTTGTTTTGGGGTTCCTTTGTTTGGTTGTGGAGGCGTCTGGCCGAGTAGATTGCTATCAACTTGACCTTTCCAGGCTCTGAGGAAGTCGAAATCCGCCGAAACGCCAGCTTAATCGTGAACAGAGAATAATAACACCTCGCGTTTGCTCAACAAAAATACGAACAAAATCACAACTTTTTGAAGTCAACTGTTAGTCGTTCGTGGAAACATGCATGGACGTGGAATGTTACCTCACTTTCCCTTCTATTCACCATTATGGAGCAAAGTGACAGCAAGTGTAATAGAGCTTTTGCTACTTGAACCCCCACTATATGAATTAACTGAATAATCGAAGAAGCACCAGAGAATATTTCAGAAGGGAAATGTGTCGACTAGCTGTCCATTAGTACACAATGTTTAATTAACACAGGTAGAATAGAATAGGTGAGAATATTAATGATGTATACGAACTACGAGGTGGACAGATAGTGAACATAATGGATGTTACTCTTCATCGCTTCACATTTAGAAGTACTATCACTCAAATGAACTGCAGCATTTTTCAACAACGATATTAGGCAATCTTAAAATATAAAAAAATAATAGATTGTATTATAGCGGTAGTATCTGAAATAATGCAACATGAAGATGAACAGTGTCAAAAACGTGTAACTCCATCAACGATGTTCGTGTGAGGTGAGCTATGTTTTTAAGCACAGAGGTAAAAACAGTTCCTCCAGTTCATGATTCTTTAATCGATGCAGTATTGTGGAATTCTTACGGCAGTTTCTTCTCCAGTTCTCTTCAACGTTGCCTTTTCATAGTAATCATTTTTAAGCTGAAGGTGCACTACAATACACAGGTGGTCGCTGGATCGATCACGAGCGATGAGCTCACTTAACCTTCCATCCCTTCGGCGTCGATAAATTGGTAACAGCTTTGTATGGGGGAAGAGCAGCACTGACTCAATACATCGACAGACCACCGCGAGTCATTGTACAAACCGGATATGCATTTCGCCACCTCTAAAGATGAAGATCGAGTACATTTCGCCTCCCTTAGATTTAGATCATCGTCGACTGCTTTACCTCTTTTGTTTGCTAGGAGATTTTAAGCATCTGCAAATACATCTAGGTTCCCTCTCATACAGAATTTTTTGAGTAGGGTGCCACAGTTTATGTAGGAATTGTTACATAAAGAGGAAACATCGTCTTTTAACACATCTCAGTATCACAACAGTGCTTAAATGAGTAAAAATGTTAATAAAGTTGAAAAAATTGGCAATCCTTGTTCAATAGAATGCTTTTCAACCACTATTCATTAGCTACTGATTAGCAGTTGGAGTTTTTTTACATTCTAAAATTGTTTTTACATCACTGGAAAATGGTGTTACAACATGTGAAATGCAATGATGGTGAACAATAAGACCACTTAGGGGTTTTGACAGACTGATCTTCCGGACACTGCAATTAAGATGGCATTTTTACATATCTCCTGACGTATATATGACATAAAACTCGTTAACTACGATGAGTTTATTTATGAAAATATCGATGAGCTCAAATCGTTGGAGAATATCTAATTTTATTTGGTGGAAATGATTTAGAAAATAGCTTTATCTCAGACCACAGAGATAACATGGAAGAATTTCATGCACAACTGAGAACATGTTGTCAAGGCCAAGCTCTTTTAGAATGGATCTGGGCATAACGATTGCTCCTTTTAGGTTCAAAATAGAAGGTTGAGCACCATATTGACAAGTTTAAATCGATTAGTTTATGTGTTTACGAGAACAATTTTAATACGTTTATTTCAAGATCTAGAGCTAGTCAGTTAGTTATACTTGTTTGTTAGACACAAACAACAACCTCATATTTTTCCTTCGGGGGAGGTTTTGCGAAGAAGCTAGGCTATATGATCAGTGATCTTTCTGTTATTACTTAACGTCCCATGGCACCCCGCAAATAGCTCTTGCTCACCGATTCGTTAAGACACATGTGTCCTGTCATCTGGTTTCTAACATCTTTACTTATTCGACAGCTTCTCTGATCTTTCGCAGTTGACATGTGCCGGAACTCTGGATTTCCTCTTGCGTTTTCACAATACGGAATACTGCTTGCGAAAAGTGAATTCGATAGTCATCATCGTACTTTAATCTTTTTTTTGTACAATGTGCACTTAATCGGGACTTAGTGGCTGAAAGAATCAAGAGGGTGCTTAGAGTTGGACATTTTTTCTGCCTTAGGAAATATATAACTAGACTCCTTTCTAAGCTCTATGAAGCCGGCAGTTACCTTATATTTAGCTCTAGGTCTGAATTATTTATTTAATTGACTTCTCAAATGAGATACTCATAGTTGGAACGTCTAGAGATGTTCGCTATTTCTAACGTTGATTGCGGCGTCAGCAGCAAGTGAGTTTCTCATAAAAAACTTTTTTTTTTTTGGAAATAGCATTGAATGCTGTGACTCTACGACAGAACTCGTTTTGGGATCTGAAATAACTGAAACATTTCATTATCATAATTGAATTATCCAACTTTTGTAGCACATCCGACAAAATGACATTTCGTATTCACTTCCCTCTTTTTCCATTGCTCTCTATCAGATCAATTATACGTCATTTCAATGTCATCAAATATGTAATGTTTTGAAAAGACACGCTGAAATACTGCTTTGAGGACCGCCGTATCTCTACAAGGACATTGGATTCCTTCCATTAGCCCTATACTTTTTCAGTCTCGCAAATGTGCAAAACTTGTCTGAATGAGTTCATTTGTAACAAGAGTCAATGTGCAACGTCTGCGATATTACCTTGTTTATTGTCCTGAGCTTAGCTCTTCTTGTCGATAATTTTCATTCCCCCTCGCATGAAATGTTACGGAATACTTATGAATACTTGTTTTAAGGAGACTATTCAGCAGAAGATGTATGCAACAACGAAAACATTTTCTTGCAAACTCACATTACCAATAGATTTGTCTGCCGTATTCGTTATCACGACTGGGCTGAGAAGAGTCTTGTAATTTGCATTTGCTCTAAGAATACTTTCTGTGGAGTACAGTGTTTTGAAGAATTGGCAACGTCCACGATAGACTGCGACGATGCATAATTTTCGCCGGTTATTGAGCATTTTACTACAACTAGTGTATTTAGGGAAATGAGAGCATAACATCCGTTCAGAGATGGAACTTCCCGTCAAGGCTCCAATGAGACAAAGATTTTTAAAACAACAATTTAATTACAGATATGTATAAATTTCAGATGTCCAATAAACCTAAAACGAAGCTTAAATTTTAAAATAATTTACCCTAGCGCTGCAACTGAGGACGCTGACAGTAGAACTGCGGAACACCCTTGTCACAGGTTGGACGGAGTTTTCCTTGTTTGACTTTTGACTTTCTTTTTCTTATTTTTTTATGACAGGGTATCACCTGTATCACGTGTAGTCCCGTTAATGGTCGAGTGACTCGAGCGGGAGCCAGTAAATCTTCCATTCTTCGCTGTCGCATGCAAGAGTAGCCCAGTAGGTTCTGATCGATCTAGGGGCTCGTCGAGCATGATATCTTCCTTTAAAGCTCCTTGTGAAGAACTCTGACCATCGGGTCGGTGGTCTTCCTGCAGTACGTTTGACATCCCGAGGAATTCAGTCACTAACAGCTCTTGTCCATCGGTTGTCATTCATACGCACTACGTGTCCGTCCACCTTATCTTCGACTGTTTGGCATGCAGAATGGCATCTTTGATCTTTGGTCGTTGACGCAGATCGGAGCTTCGGATCCCATCCCTTACTTGTGTGTAACGGGATACTCCTAGCACCGCCCTTTCGACTGCGCGTACGATAACGCTGAGTGACCGTTCGTTCTGCGTACGCCGCGACCAGGTTTCTGACGCATACATTAGGGCAAGAAGTACCGTTGAGTCGAAAATGCGGCCATGGAGTTGGGTGTTCTTTGTTCTACTCACTACTTCTTCGATGCTCTTGAAAGCTCCCCAAGCCGCTCGTTTCCTTCTGCTCAGCTCTGGAGCTAAGTCGTTCACCATATTGATTTCCTCAACTAGACATACATAATTGGAGCATTCGGAGAAATTCGCTCCGTTGAACGTGAATGAGGCATACAAATCCAGTCCGTTCCTCATAAACATCGTTTTTGTGAGACTAAGTTGAAGACCAGTCTTTCCACAGGCTTTAACAAAATCGTCAAGCATACGTTCCCGCTTGCCTAATGTTTGGTGTTATTAGGACGATGTCATCAGAAAAGCGAAGATGTTGTAACTGTCGACCGTCGATTTTCACTCCCATATTATCCCATTCCAATGTTTGCATGACGTTCTGGAGGGTGGCGGTAAATAATTTTACCAAGATGGTATCGCCTTGCCTAATTCCACTTTTGATGTCAATGTTAATATCGTTGTAGAATGGTGATATCTTGACTGCGAAATATGTGTACAGCTTACGAAGAATCCTTGTGTTTTGCGTAGGGACTCCATGAATATCAAGGGCTTCAAAGACTGTTTCTATCTCAACTGAATCAAAGGCCTTCTGTAAATCGATGAAAGTGAGACAGAGCGGTATTTAATACTTTCGCGATACTTCAATGAGCCTCGTTACCGTGTGGATGTGGCCCATCGTACTAAATCCTCTTCGAAACCCTGCTTGCTCACATGGCTGTCCTTTGTCCGGCGTTCTCTTAATCCTGTTTAGAATGACTCGAGTGAAAAGTTTGTAGACGACAGACAGTAGGCAGATTGGGCGATAGTTGCCGTTATCGTGTAGGTCACCCTTCTTGAAAAATAACACGGTTTTGGTGGACTTCTACTAAGTAGGGACCTTGCATTCAGACAGGTAACGTGTGAAGAGACGAGCCAGTATGTTTACGAGGACTGGCAGAAGGTTCATCAGGTGTTCTTGTCCTAACCTGTTCGATTTCTCACCGACGAAATGGCATGTCGGATTTCGAATGGGAGAACCGGTGGTACAACATATCCCTCCTCCTTTATTTCGTATTACGGGAGGTGGACGTGGCTATCGAAGAAATCCGAGCAGTATTCGTGAATGATTTTCTCCATTACCTTTCTGGACGCTGTAATTGTTCCGTCTGGGCGCCGTAGAGCAATCGTTTTGGTCTTGTAATTGGTGAAGCTTCGATGGGCTTTGCGAATGCTTTTCTCAGCCTCTGCAGCTTCGGCCATTACTGCTGCTCTTTTCTCTTTAACATCTTCTTTTATCACCTTTCTGCATTGTTTTGCAAGTTCGGACATTAGTTCGCGGTTGCCTGCAGCTCGTGCGATTCCACGCTGGCGTATCAGTTCAAGTGTTTATGGAGAAAGACGTCTTTTGGTGACTTTCGAACTCTCAGGTTTCATAGCGCTTGCGTGAAGATGTTGAATGAGCCGGTTTTGTTCGTCGATGTTATCGACAAGGGCATCTTCCCAACATCCGACTAATGAATTGAAGAAGTCCCAGTTTACGGTGGTTCTAGGACTTCGGTTTTTGAATTTAGCGGCTTTTTCTCCTTTCCGCGAGAAATAGAATCTTGCAAGAAGGAGACAGTGGTCTGATACCGTGTAGAATTTTGGGACAACAGTGACGTTGGTTAGGCGAAACCTTCTATTTACTGTGATGTGGTCTATTTCGTTAATGATAAACTCAGATAGCCGCTCACTCTGTTCGTTCCATTCTAATCCGTGGCTTCCAATGTAATGTTCTTCGGACGTTCTTCTTGGTCCAACTTGGCGTTGAAATCTCCAATGACGACCTTGAAGAATGTGTGGTCTTCTCTGTAGAACATCTCCAAGTCCATATTGAACGCCTCGACTTCTTCTTCGTCATCGCTTGACGGCGGTGTGTGAACAACGATTGTCAAAGCTGGTATTAATCCACACCTTTTTAATCGTAAACGTCCGATTCGGGTTGTAAGTTGTTCGAATGGATCGGTGTTCATGGACAAACTGGTGTTGACGAGAACGTCGGCGCCGCCTACACCTCTACTGTCGCATGTTCCGAGGAACAGTTCCTCTCCGGTGTCATAGACGGCGTTGAAAGGCTGGCGTCTTCTCGTCTCGGTCAGGCCGATGACGTCGTACTTTATCCTTCTTGCATGCATGAGCAAGTCTTCTATCTTGGACTCGGATGCAAGTGCACTTGCTTTGTAGGTACAGATCGTCACCATAGTTCTTTGTAATCCAGGCAGCTTCCACTGGCACTGAGATTTTAGCAGCCTCTCCGTACTCGTCCTACTGCGAAACGCTGCGAAATTGGGGGCGCTTTCGGGGTCAGGGGAATGAGGCTCGTTCATTTTACTGTGTTTGGCATTTTTGATACCTACGTATAGCTTGCTGGGCTTTGAACGTGACGGCTGGGTATACTCACGGGTAGCTTGCCATGCTCTCTCAGAGTGGACATGGAGCTTATTTGTTGCGGCTCCTAACCGCCTCCCATTTACTTCCCAGTCACTTGTTTGCAGGCTTTTGGCCGAATTGACTCGTAGAATACAATCCGCATAAACAAGAGCGCACCCACACACAAATGCATGAGTACGCCTAGCAAATACAGAAAGTATTTGCCAAATCAGCGCAGCAGAAACAGGGAGTCCATCCCCTGGAACCATCTGCGTCTCAGGGAAGCAAAGATCGCTTTTGTTCCGCGATTAACCCCCTATCCGCCACCTGGAGACCCTCCACGTAGCCTTGCGACTAACTGGCTCGAGATCCCTCATATGTGGGAGATCCGTGGCATGAGAGGGTAAGAGATAAAATATTGTGTTTGCCGATAGCATCGATAGAGTCGAGAGCAGACTGAGTATAAGACAAATCAAGGGATTCGGTTGGTGTGGTGGAACCTGAGGCCCTAAAAAGGGTAATCGCCGGCTGATAGCCCACTTGAGGTTACCAGTTTTGCTCGTGTCCCAGTATGTATCATTGCGGAATTCTGTCTATTCAAACACTTTTAAAGCGCGAAATTCGGGTCACTTGAGAAAACAGCGAAAAGGATTGCGTTTTGTTGACTCTAAAACCGTCAAGTTTGTCATTATAGAAAAAAAGATGGAGCATCTCGTCCTCCAAAGTTCTATTCCATTTACTAATGAAATGGGATTTGTTTGCCAGAGTTGGAAAGGGCATTTCCTTTTTTGCTTGCATGAATCATATATGTTGTTACCGTTAATAAAAAAAAAGATGGTTCAAATGATAATAGCAGCTTGAGATGCTTAATCGCTTTTAGCTGACTGAACCAATTACGTCTTCTTGATTAAAAACAATTAACAGCCGGGTCTGAACAACTAAGATGGCGAATTGGGAGAGTATGGAGCATCGCTTAAAACATACATGCCAGATATCCTGCGGGTAGGCGACCTATTGAAAACCGCACTCACCAGTTTTCCGATACTTCATACTTATCGAGATGAAAAATTCATTTAAGAATGGTTCTAAGCACTTACGTTACCTCAGAATCGCTTAAAAATATATTCAAAGTGTTGACAAAGCAGGATGTACTTATGCGCTTCTCGAGTTTTGCCTTTCAGTTTTCGTTAATCATTTTTTCCTCTGTAAGAAGTTATATTGAAGGTATTCCTGTACTTGATAAAACAGAGCTTTTAACTCGTATGAAATGCTTAGATATTTGCAAAACTCCGGACCACAGGTGTATGCAGTGGCGAACGAACACGCGCTGTTGTCCTTACCGGGGAGCAGCGCACTTCACCACTACACCATCCGGGTCGGATCCCCGGTAAGGACAACAGCTCGTGTTCGTTCCCCACTGCATACACCTGTGGTCCGGAGTTTTGCAAATATCTCAGCATTTCATGCGAGTTATATTTCGCAACATACCCTGCCATTAAGAAGAAAAAGGCAGTAAATAAAAGGGTTAAGACAGAGCTTTTAATTTTTGTATCCATGTAAGAATATGCATGATGTGAACACCCCAATGAATTGGAGAATTTAAGCATTTAAGAAATTTCTTGGCAACAACGGGACCAAAAAGATATTCATATGTACTGAACGGCATCTCGCTTCGATTACTAGACCATTCACATTTCCGAACCTTTGTTCCACATTTTCACTTGTTTGAAATGAACTCTAATGCTCTGCGAGTTTCACTAGTTCCAGATAATCCATGAATGGTCCTATACTTGTTTCTGACTAAGTCTATCTATGCGTAAGTCACCAAAATAGTCCACTCTAATTCGAACATCGCTCAATTTTCAATGTATCCTTTTTTGCCTATTGTTATGTCACGAATGGTACGCATCTTTTTCAACACTCTCGTGACGACGACTAATCTCGCGTTTGCCGCGGACTGGACGGCGCCTAATTTTCAGCTTCTACTGACCTCCTGGTTTTTTGAAAATGAGCAACAATTTTCATAACAAGAGCATTTCGTGAGTGATGAATATGAATGGACTGTAAAAAACTTGGCTCTGTCGCTCCATGGTGCTAATGATAGGTGCGTTATTTACTATATGTTGCCATTGTCCATCGGGCAAACACATTACTCTCAGGATTTGGAAGCGGCTTGCAACTTATGGATCACTGCTCCAGTGTTCTTTTTGCACCTGCACACTTTGTGCGATAATCATTATTCATTATAGAAACTACGATTGAAATAGTTGTCGACTAGTATCCAAATTTCTGGTTAGTGAACTCGTTCTGGAAACCGTTCTTTTGTAAATTCCCAAGTGCACAATAGAGCTTTTTCCTAACAATGACAAATACAACATCTGTGCTTCATAAGCTGTTAGTTGATTACAAAAGCTGTAGGAAAGTAGCTCTATGTGTGTCTTTATTATATACTCTATATGTGTACATATTCTTAAGCAAACTGATGGGAGAAAATGAGACTTATGGGTGTCTTACCTGCCACTCCCGCAGGTTCATCGTAACACCAACAGGTGCCACTCGTGGTGAGAGTGTGACAGCACATAATTTTGCGGGTCTTTTACATATCACAAACAAAATCTGAAAGTTCATCCTTTTCACGTTCCATTAGGTTAATCTGTCGAATATTTTCGGTTCTCAGATTTATTTCAATCTAATCTAATAAACTGCTCCCTTATGTTAATAAGGACTTTTGTGCCCCATTCCGAAAAAAAAATTACAACATATTGTTATTTTGCGAACTTATGATATCTGTAGGGTGTTTGTGGCCCAGTGGTCGGAGGCACCATGCAACACACACGTGGAATCGATCCCCGCGACTAATGCCCACCAAGTCTTCCAACCCACCGGGCTCGGCAAATTGGTACCAGACTTGTCTTGGAGGATGGCAGCGCTGGCTCAATACATCGATAGGTCACAGCGAGTCACTGTAAAGGCCAGATATGCATTCACTCACCTCGAACGAAACTTAATGAAGTCGAATGCATGACGCATTCCTCATTGATTGATCAACGTCGAGATCTTCCTTTTATCGACATTGGTGATCGGCACCCAGAGCTATTTCCTTTATCCTTTTTTATGATAACTGCTGAAGTAGTAGGAACCTACACCTTCGTGATTGGTTAGCTCTACAGCTGCTTTTGAATTCGAATTTGCACACGTAAAATAGTATTAGCAATTTCCCTCCGTATGTTTAATAAATTCTTCTCTTTTCGCTTTTTTGTTCGTCTCATGTGATATTGAGCTATTCTAATGGATTGGAATTGCTGGCATCTCTTAAAGACGGCTGCGATTTCAGTTTTCCTTTCTTTTCTTGCTAAACGTCTTTGCTGACGAAATCTCCAATTCTATGTAGAGTTCTTTCTTCCTACATTTCTATACACATTCATGCCATAATTTTTCTAGACTCCACTAAAAATCCCTCCTTTGTGAGTCTCTTGTGAGTCTTAGGTTAAGAAAGCTTTCGGGAATGTGCATTCGCTTTTATATTCCATTGGAGTTTTATTGTATTTAACGAGGTAATCATTAAAGGCTGTTTAAAAGATCTTTGTTTGTATGGAAAAACTGCCATTTTACGTGTAAAATATAGGTTGAGGTCTTTTTAACCTATACAATTACACGTCTGACTTCAGTGAGGCGACAAAAAAATTGATAGGCAATGAGATCGTTCGTCACTTAAAAGTCGGTTATATATTGCTTCCATAGAATTTGAAGCATAGGATTTGACGAAAGACATCCTCACTACGCTAAATGACAACTGGACTGTCTTATTATTGGAAATCGTCTTTTATTTGCCATCCACCTCTTTAAAAATTTGTCCTTCCGACTCTAATCTCTACATTCTACCATGGATTTCTGGTAAATCCTACTTTTCCGTTTTAGACATGAAAAATCAAAAGTTCTTTTATGTGTTCTATTGGCATGTTTTCTTCCTGAAAATCATATCTATAGGTGGTGGGCTTTAAACGCTACTCAATGCTTAAAAGTCTCAGCAAAGGTTGTTACGCTGCTGGTGGAGCAGCTCATCGCCGGCAGTCAGCCAAACAGTGACGAAACAGGAGTCGTCTTAATATCACACCAATTTCACCCCTAAGGTTCATTAGTTCCTTCTAGGTGCACTTGCATGTTGTTTTTTCTTCGTGAAATAATAGGCCATGGTATAATATTACCAACATATATTCCTGGAACCAAAAATAGATTTTTCATTTGTTGCAAAAGTGGTAATAACGTAGTTTGTGGAAAAGGGTCGATGCGAATAAAAAGTCTCGTTTTCATGGTGTTGGCTTCAAATTCGACCACGATTACTTGATCGCCTTGCTAATCTGTGTTTCTAGTTGGAATGGCCACCTGAAAACATACATAAAGAATTATGATATCTCAAAACTAACGATAGGCATAACTGACTCATAATTTACAGTCTTAACGGGAGTTGTTGCAAGATATGACATTGTTGCTTTTATATGACCTGACATCAAATTTATCACATTATGCGCTTATCACATTTACCATTTCCAATATTTTCGGATTCCATTTGCTTCCACGCATCCACAATCCAACGAGTTGCTCGAACCTCTTTTCAAAATCTGTGATTACAAGGGTGGCCAAAAGAGAAAAAAAGGATAAAACTCTTGGTCTTTATCAATCCCTGAGACATGCGCCATGCATTCAACTTCATTAAGCATAGTTTGGAGGTGATTGAATGCATACCTGGCCTTTACAATGGCTTGCGGTGGCCTACCTATGTATCGACCCAGTGCTACTATCCTCCCAGATAAGTACGATGCCAATTTGCCGACCCTGGATGGATGGAAGGCTTGGTGAGCCATGGGCGCGGGGATCGATCCCATGTGTGTTCTACAAGGCGCCTTCTACCACTGTGCCACACCCGCCACAAAAAAAGCGCTAAGAAGAATAATGACGACTGGCATTTTTCACTATGTGAGTGATAGTGTGAAATGTTGTTTAGGTGGTAAAAATATATGAATAATTGTCATGTTGCATAGTAGTGTCAATTTCACGTCACTAATAAGAGTTGCCGCCCTGAGTTATGGGCAACCTGGAGCGATCCACCATGAACGACGTGGATTTGTCGTGGATTTGTCGACAAGCGCTGCGGGTGTCTTTTCTTTCAGTTCAGCTCAAACCACACTCCGCTCTATAATTGTACCCTTTTCATCGACATGCTTCATGTCTGTCACTCAGACGACACTTTCAGATTTTCATCGCTAATTAA